ATTCTATGATTCTATGATTCTATGAATAAATGTGAATTTAGATGACTGAGCAGCACAACGGCAGATTTGGAAACGCGGTGCTCCAGGCCTCTGTTCTTGCAATGCAGAGCACAGTAAGAGAATGTGGGAAATTCTGGTTTTCAGTATATCTAAGCAAAAATGTTTTCTTTTCCCTCTTTAATGCCAAAGCTTGGACTTATTCCCAGAATCAGCTCTGTGGAGAACTTATGCAGTGAAAAGGATTTAGATGAGTACCAGAAGTATCACTGTATTGAAATTGCATCAGAAGTCGGACCTCATGTCTTGCCTGAAGTGTGCGCACGGCTCATAGTGAGCATGTCAGCCCGTATTCACAACGGCGCCGTCGGTAAGGAGCAACCTGTACAGGCAGCTCTTTTGGACAGTTACTGGTTTTCCCTTGAGTTTGTAGAATATGTTGACTGGAGAGCTCCCAGCCCATGGTGGTGTAGGTGAGTGAAGCCAATCAGTATGTGGTATGTATGGACGTGCAGGATATGTCCCGCTGAACCCTGAGTGCGCTGCAAACACCTTTTGGTGGCATGGTTCTCGGAGTCCATCACACCTGATGAGCTTCATGGAGCAGCATGACAGGGACCATGGCAGTGCTTGTGTGTTTTCTGAAGAGCATTTCAATCAGATGCAGCTTCACCAGATGACCAAAGCAGTAACTTTCCTACTTTTCTGGCTGCTGTAAAATGACAGAGGAGTTTTTAAGCCCTCTCCCTGGATGCTGCAGGCCAGCTGGATGCCCTGGTAGGACTCCAGGCATGATGGCACACAAGCTGATGTTCTGCAATAGATTCACCAAGAACACCTCGGTGGTGTCCCAGCAAGAGGGCAGTGGCAGTTGGGGTTTGAAGCCCCAGGCAGTCTCCTGGACCCACCATGGAAAGGGCAGCTGGGCTCAGTGGCTCAGGAGACTTCCCTGGTGTTGGACCCAGAGAAATGGAACTTCTCTGCTCTTCCAGTAACAGGAGGGGCCTTTCTGGACAACTTTGGTGTCCAGCTCCTTTCAGGGAGCCTTGCCTCCAATGGACCTGATAGCATCTGCTTGGTTTGGGCTATTTTTAGAAGGACTGATGCCTCACTCACACATCATGTGATGTGGTCATGCCTATGCAGCCACAGACCCCCCTCATTTAAGTTTGGGCTGTGCTGACTCCCCATTAGCCTGATTCCCATAGTGATGGGATTCTCCCAACGAAACATGGCACTTTGGCTTTCTAGCACTGGCATCTGAGCATCCTGGACAAACACCCTCAGTGAGTTAGCAGACCAGCTTCACTCAACAAGTTAGTCCAAGGTGTCCAGAAAGCAGTAAACAATACACAGGTGCAGGCTGTCTAAGTACTGCTTGCAGGTTATGTCCCGTGCTGCAGCTAGACATAGATTTATATCAAACCCTTCTAGACTTCAGGATATGTCCATTTTGGATCTACATTTTGCTACGCCCTCTTCTGTCCTATCACAAATATGTGCTGAAGGCAGTGCCCTGGATGTGGCAGCTCCAACACTGAGACTTGTGCTGGTGCCTGATACACCATCACCATCGATGCTATAGCATCAAATAATCCAAGCCATGGCCATCAGTGGTTAGTGAACCCCTGATGAGAATAATCAAGCTCTTTTCTTTCTGTTTTTAAGTGTAAAACCTGCAAGTTTATGAGAGCAGTCACACTCCTTTATAACCAAACCTGTCTTGATTTTCTTTCCCCTTGGCAGCGTGTAAGTGCAATCCCCAAGGGTCGCTGAATGCCAGCTGCAGTAAACTGGGGGGCCAGTGTCAGTGCAAAGCCAATGTCGTGGGACGCTGCTGCAACACCTGCTCTGCGGGCAGCTACGGCTTCGGCTTCCATGGCTGCTACGGTGAGTACTTGGCAGCCAGCACCAGTACCAGTACCAGTATTTGGTTCTTCATGCATACCCCAACTTTTTAGGGCTTTGAATCCATGATTATGTGTGAAGCAATATAAAAAATGTTTCCACAAATAATGAATTTTCCATCCCTGCTGCTCGCACTGCCTTCGAGCAGCAATGCCAGCAATGAGCAGGAATACGTTCAGGCCACAGCTTTGCTTTCGGTGTTTTCCAGCATGCGAGTGCCACCCGCAAGGCTCGCTGAGCACGCTGTGCGACCAGGTGACAGGGCAGTGCTCCTGCCGCCGGGAGGTGGATGGTCAGCGCTGCAGCCGATGTCTGGCTGGGTATTTTGGATTTCCCTACTGCCGTCCTTGCCCATGTAACGGCTATGCGGAGCTTTGCGACCCAGTGACTGGAGTGTGCCTGAACTGCCGTGGGTTTACAGCTGGAAGCCACTGTGAAAGGTAAGTTGATGGGCAGCACTGCAAAGCTCACCAAAACACTGCGCTCTCTGAAACGCGTGTGTAGCTGGGGGCCCACCTACATCCTCATGAATGCATCAATGACCTTAACTGGAAACACAAACCTAAACCTGAGATTAAACTGGGCCTAGCTGCTGAATGGCAGGTACCTATTTGTTCGGCAAATGCATGTGCGAAGGTGCATGTAATGCCTGTGGGAGGACTGCAGGCACGGCATGCACACAGCATTGCAGCGGGGTCCCTGCAAGAAGGCATTTGAGACATGGGTGCCGTGGCACCATGTGCTTGGAGACATGTGCAAGGCACTGCGTATGAGATACACTGACTCCTGCCAGCTTTTAAATTGTCAAGAGGCTAACCTTGTGCTGAATACTCATTTTAATACCTGCAATTATCTCTGAGGAGCTTACCAGCAAAAGACTTTCCCATGTGTTCCAGCTCCATTCAAAACAGTGCTCCTTTTTTTTTATTCTATACACTTGTTACCGTAAATCGGCAGATGAAGAACTCTCTAAGACTCAATTTGGAGTTTTAGAAAGCAGGCATTCTTTATTGTGGCGCCGGGTGCAAGGTGGAATTTCCACAAATCAAGCACACCTACGGCTAGATCACCATTATATTTATACACAAAAATTACAAGGTAGTACACTCCCAATTACAATGATTGGTTAGTGATTTACATACACTTATAATATCTGCTGTGTCATTCTCTTCTGTTACTACGCTTGCGCAGGGGAAGGGTCTTCACCTGGGCAAGGGTCGTCTTGACCTGTGGGTGTGTTTTTTAGTATTATAATGAGGACAGTTCACTTCAGGACACCTTAAAAGTAGGTTTTGTTGCCAAGTTGGCCAGCTAGATATCTACCTTGCCAGGTTGTCAAATAACTCATCCCTCATCTACCTTGTCAAGTTGTCAAATAAGTCATCCCATATACAATAAAGCCTGAGTGGTCTGGTCGCACTCTAGAGACTTAAAAGTAAGGTTAACATGGTCCAGTGACTAACACAACAACCCCTTACATAACGCTAACATGAAGATTAATAACACAGCAGCAACCCCTACATGACGTTAACATAAAGATTAATCAAAATGTTCTTATAGTTACTCATTCACTATCAAACACACAAAATATATTCAATAAAAAAACTTATAATAATCAACACACTGGCAGCAGTATCAGAGTTCAACACAGATGTCAGAATTAAATTCGTTAGCTGTTTAGTTTAGTTTGGCTGGATTGTACCTTGTCATTCACTTTTAAGAGGATTTCCCCATGAAACCTATTGAGCTTTTCTTGCAGTGCTTTTGGACAATACAGCCTTTGGCTATTGTGTTTTTAAGTGGCAAATAGATTAAAAATGGGAGACTGAAATACTTGTTGCCCTGTGCCTCTGCAGGAGCTCCAGACCCCAGGGCAAGGATAATCGAATAGCCAAGACTTTTAGCCTGGCTTGTATACATATAAAGAATTGTGTTCCCATTTGCCATAGTAAAGCAGATCAAAGACTGAGGATGCTTCAGAAGCTGCTGCATTGCCGCAGCTGTGGGGCCACGGGGGTCCGGGATGCGGAGGCAGTGGTGACGGGCAGGGTGGTGGGGGTGGCTGAGCCCCCAAGGAGCCCCCAAGGCCCCCCGCCTGTCTGGGTAACAGCACAGCCACTACCGCCTCAAAACAGCCGTCACCCTGGGTTTGCAGAACATGTCAGCCAGAGCATGGCTGATTTCAATACATATGCTGGATCTAAACTATGCAATATTCTCTGAATGCTCTGAATGAATCGTTGCTTTTTTGCCCGTACCAGGACTTTCAACCACTCTTTGTGTGTGTGTATGGAAATAGATGAATATATGTGGTGATAGGTGAATATACAGAATTTTTACATGGCAGCTTTTAGCTGTCTATGCAGAGCATGTGTGATATGTCATATGTATATATTATCATTTAGATTAAAATTGTTCCAGAGTAGGTGAAAGCCTTTAGAAATATTCCTTGAAAAGAAAACATAAGTTTTTTTCTTTTTGCTCCAGATTTTGGGAACACAGCTCTGATTTTCCATTTTAGAACACCTTTGAAGCTAGATATATCTGTACCAATTAATGGGGATAGCATTACAATGACCTGGAATGTTAAATTAATTATACATATATATATATAAATCGATTCACCTGCAGAGACTGAAAGGAGCACTTGACAATTCCTACCCATTTGTGTTGACTGCTTTGACAGGTGCGTGGACGGCTATTATGGAAACCCTCTGAAGGGACAACCCTGCCGCCCATGCATGTGCCCAGGGGCACCTACAAGCAATAGGTATTTTGCACGTTCCTGTTACCAGGACTCCCAGTCTACACAACTAGTCTGCAATTGTCTCGAGGGATATTCAGGTACAAAGCAAAATAAGGACTGGTTTTGATTCTATTAAAATTAATGTAAGAGAGAAAATTGACCATCCTCCGCCCATCCTCTGTTCAGAAATGACAAGTGAAATAATGGTAATAAAATAGTTAACACCCAAATTTACTGAAATTAGGTGGCAAAGTCCTGACTGAGAAGAGTGGGAATTGTGCAATTAGTGTTTGAAAAAGGGATTCACCTATGTGGATACAGACAATTAATCTGATGGCACTCTCTGGAAACCTCCTCCTTTCCAGGGGCACTACATTAACATGGTGGGGAGGAGGGGGGAGAACTGCAGTTGCTTGTTACCTCTGAAAAACAAGCATTGAAAGCCCAAATCAGAAAGAACAGGGCACCAAAAAGGGCGGAAAAGATTTCCTAATCAGACAAAATATTTCCTCATATAGAAGAATCTTGCTTTGACGTTATGCCCAGAAGTGACTGTTTCAGTGTTCAAATGGTCACTTCAGAAATGAGGTTTCCATTCTCAGCTGTCTCAAATGCTAATATTTTTGCAGCAAACTGATGCCTTGCTTCCTAAGATCCCATTGACTTAGCTTGAATTTCTACAGGGAAAAACTGAAGATATTTCCCTTCCCCTGGGCATTATAAAGATCTCCAGTGATGAAAGCAAACCCTAATGGGAAATACTGCCAAAAACTAAACCAATGCTGTCATCTTTACTTAGGCCAGGTTCCTTTATAAGTCAAGAGCAGTTTTGCTTGAGTAATTGCTGTAGGGCCAAAATGATCCTCGTTGGTACTTACCCAGGGGAATTCTGCCCTCACAAACCACTGCAATCCTCAGTTCTGGACTTTCTTCCTCCCGCTCCTTCCTGGCAAGGCTCTTGGTCACCCCTGTGGCACTGGGCTCACTTCCTTGGAGACTGTGAAAGGCTCTGGTCCTGGGGACCATGGCGAAGGAGCAGAGTCCTTGGTTGAGGATGAGCCAGTAGATGAGGTGCCAGCAACACCAGCCTGCCCAGAAAGGTTTCTGAGATGCAGAGAGGTAGCACCGCAATCAGGTTGGGCGTTGGGATAGTGTGCAGAAGTAATTGCAATGCCAGCAAGCAAGGACAGAGCATCCCAGAGCTTGTCTGACTTTCTGGGTATTCTCCACTGGGTTACGGAAAGGAGGGCAGGTCTGCCAGCCCCTGGGTTGCTCCAGGAAAGGGTACTCCACGCCTTCCTGTGACATTGTCGTGGTGAAGACCCCAGAGAAAATCCTGCAAATATGACCCAACCCTGATTGCTGCCATTGAAAGGACTTTGCTGGAAAAAGATGTTTGGAGGTGTTGTGTGAGAGGGTACCTATTTACTCCTACTGAAAGGACTTCCTTGGTAAAAACGACTTGGGATGAGGAGAGTGCGTTTCCATCAGATTTCAGTGTGGGAGATGTAATTTAAATTGATCATAGGATTAAAGGACAACAGTCTCAAACAGGTGGATATTTTCCATTGGAAATGTGCATTTGAACAGACAGTCTGAATCTTTTAACAGTATTACTGGAAATTACTTGTTTCACTTGAATTCCCATCAGCCAGCAAATATTTTTACCTTCCTCCCCAACAGGCAATCGGTGTGACGAGTGTCCTAGTGGGTTCTACAAAAACCCAGGCAGCCCTGGGCTTGACTGTGCACCATGTCCCTGCAATAACAACATTGATGTGACAGACCCAGAGTCCTGTAACAGGGTCACCGGGGAATGCACCAAGTGTTTACACAACACCCATGGAGCAAACTGCCAGTTCTGCAAACCAGGGTATTTTGGCTCAGCCCTCAATCAAAACTGTCAAAGTAAGCAAGCAACAGTACTGCAACTGCGTATTTCCACCAAGAAGAGTTTAAAGAAATTAGGCTATAGGGAGAGGTTAGCCCTTGGAAGGACAGTAAAACTAAAGCAGATGAATGGAGCAAAATATGAGAATACCAAATACATTTCTATCCAGTGATCCAAATAACTGTTAATATGGCACCTATTAAATTCTTTGTCTCCTAGGAAATACTCATTTCTGAAATGAAATCAGTACTCTCTGTTAGAAAAATAAATGTCCATTCAGCCCATTCAGGAAGGAATCAAAAGTAAAGGAATCAAAGATAATTGTTTATCCATGTCGCTGGCTGATGCTAACTAGGCAATGCTCAGTTAACCAGATGATCCCTTGCTGAGCTCCCTGCCTTACCAGTTATTTTCATTAAGTGGCTAGAGTGAGACTATTCAGGCAATTTAATAGACTCCATGAGGATACTGTCAATAACTCAGCACTTTTAACAGAAAGGCAGGAGTGTAAGAAAATGCAGGGCATAAGTTTCTTCCTAACATTTCTCAAAGACTATTTTCACAGATGTGCCTGATTGAGGGTCTAATTTCTACAGGCCAGACAAATACAGGTATTTTCAAGAAACATTTTTTCTGTGAATCTCTAAAATACAGTTCAAGCCCATTCCTTTTTCATTCTTGGAAGATGTCCATTAGAAATGGTTAAGCAAGAACTTTTGGCTCCTCACAAGGAAGGCTTCTTATCTTACTTGGCTTACTGGGGTTTCCCACGCTGGATAATGCCTACCAGCTTCTCTTTATCCAACATACTTAACATTTCATTCTAATAAGATGCAAAATTATCTATGCCTTAATTTTTTTGTGCCTGTATTAAAAGTACTGAAAGTTCCCAGTAAGTTTGCTCAAAGCAATATATAAGCTACAACAGAAAGATAGGTAAACTGTATGAAATTAAAAATGTATTCAAGCATACTAGAAGTAAACCTATAGCATGGGCTTTATATACAGCTCTGATTGTCCATCAACGGTCTATATTATTGTCTGCTGTAGTAATTGCCCTTCTTTTTCCAGGGTGCACATGCAATCCAGTGGGTGTTCACCCTGCCATGTGCCCGGGGGGGGACGCAGCCTGTCTGTGTGACCCAGCCACAGGAGCTTGCCCTTGTCTGCCCAACGTGGTGGGCGCGACATGCAACCAGTGTGCCTCTGGCTACTGGGACCTGGCTAGTGGAAAAGGATGTCAGATCTGTGACTGTGATCCAAAAAACTCCCAAAACAACCAGTGCAACCAGGCAAGAAAATTACTCTGTTTTCTGGGAACCGGGGTGGTGGTGTTTTGGCATGGCACGGTGGGGACCCTCTTATAAATGAGGATAGTTTTTTGTTGTGCTCCCTGAAAGCAAGAAGTCTTTGGAAGTTTGCAGTTGGTGCGATCACAAGTTGAGTCATTATATCAAATATGCTATTCTGATAATGTGGCTCTGCTTGTAAGCAATTCCTCTTTGCCTGTGTGTTTCTTTGTCAAGTGGATCTTAGAAATACTTTGTAAGAAAATGTCACATAGGAAAAAACTGCCTTGTAAGTATATGTATAGGGAAGAAGGAAGTCCAGGCTTGGACCCAAGAGTCTTATGAGTATTTTTTTAAGTGTTTATTTTCATAAAGTAACAGCTGTGGCCATTATATTAATCATGCGTCATCTATCAGATTGCTAGAGTACCTTTTCTCATCTTTAATTCCTGTGCGCTTTTTAGAAAGTGAACATATAAATATATGAAAAAAAAATTAATAAAAAAAATAAAACAGCATTTCAGAATAGAGAGGTGAAATAGTGCTCCCATGGAGTCAACAGCAATTTTGCTATTGACTTCAGAGCACCAGGAGCTTATCCCAAGCTCTTGCTGATGTGCTTTTGCATTTTCCTTTCAATATGCTTTCTGTTTGTTCCAGTTTATTTAGTGGATTTATTATTTTTCCTAGCTGATGTAGCTCTTAACCTCAAAGAACTACTGCTTTTCTGAGCTGTACCAGTTATCAGAGCTGTAATTCCCTGCAGTTTAATTTAATAGCTGAATGCCAAAATAAATTTTCTAGGGCAATGTGCATAATGTACCCGTGAGGTTTTCAGTTACAGTTAGTAGATCATGTAGTTAAAAGTTGAAATGTTAAGGTGAATACTTTGCTCCAGCAAAAATAAGAAATTAAGCTGGTTTACAAGGGAAAAGAATCCTCTCTCAGATCATAGTCAGAGGATGAGTTCTCAAAGAGCATCTGCAGACTGGAACGTAAAAAATCTTTCATATTAGTAAAGTAAAGCCACCTCTCAAAGTCCATTTTGTTTTCACAGCCTTCAGGAGGAAGATGGGAAAGGTGGGCCAATACTGTATAAACCATGGTGTTCAAAGACCATGTGCAAGCAGTGTCACTGCAGTCCCCATACAGCTATATGACATAAGTCACAGGGAGAAAAAGAAACCCAGTAAATAATGTATATCCAGCCATATGACTCTGCAGGAAGTTATTTAATCCTAACTGTCTTTACAGCTTACAGGCCAGTGTCCATGTAAGCTAGGTTACAGCGGAAGATGTTGCGATGAATGTGAGGAAAATTACTTTGGCAATCCCCAGACACATTGCATTTGTAAGTATTACTAAGGGGGGACAACTGGATTAGAAACTACCTCAAAAGAAACGTATACCTTTTATATTCATAGGGGAGACGGGACATACATCTAGAGAAGCAGGCTTTCATACATTTGTGTGTATGAGGTGGATAAAAGTGTTTATGTTATTTATCTATATTGTTCTTTCTACTGTTATGATGGAACCATGGAAGTTAGAGATGAAGAAGAGCCATTAGCCAGGCAGTCCACTTTGCTCTAACACAAACACCAGTTTGCTTTTATTGTCTTGAAATGCACGATTGTATCTTTTGCATGCGTTAATCCCATGGAAAAGGAACAACTGGATGTAACTTGCTGTCCCTTTCTTGCAGCGTGCGGGTGTAACCTGGAGGGAACCAGCCAGCCCAAGTGTGACAAAGCCACCGGCATGTGTAACTGCCGCACTGGTGTCACCGGCTGGTTCTGTGACCAGTGCAGCCGAGGCTTTGAGAAAGACTTTCCTTCTTGCCGTCAGTGTCATCTTTGTTTCGATCAGTGGGACACTGAAATTACTGCCCTTGCTCAGACTGTTCAGGGGTTAATGAGGTTTGCTGCGAATCTCGAAGATAAAGGAGGACGAATGCCCAGCTGTGACATGCGCTTCAAAGCCTTTGAAGATGCCATTTCTGAAATTGAAAGAAATTTGAGACATCCTGTTCTTTCACTGGAGGCCCTCTCAGGCATCAAGGATTTTCAGGGCTACGTTCAGTAAGGGCTCGGCTGCTCCTGAAAAAATCCCTTGGCTGAGAAAGCAGTCTTCCCCTCGGCTCCACCAGCCATCCCTACACATCAAGTCCTGCTTCTGATCAGCACACAGATGCTGGACTACTAAGTCACTGTTTTCAATAGATCTGTGAACAAAATAATCCTTATATATATTATCTGTCCAACACGGGCATATAATTAAATGCTGGAATTCTCCAGTTCACCCTAAGGGTTTTCTAAATAAGCCATTACAAGTAAATGTTTCTGCTCATTTAGAAATTTATCTCTTGTCCTCTAAAATATTGTGTATTCTAGTTTAAGAGCAATCCGGTCTGCTTCTGCATAACTGCCATTTCCCTTTCAGACAAAAAGTTGCACAAATGGATCCCCTTCACAGTACGCTGTATGAGTTTCCTGACCTTAACAAGAACATAGAAGACATTGGGGAAGAAGCCGACCTAGTGTATGAACTTCTACAACAGAAAATACATCTGCATCAAAGTTTTAATTACTTGAACCTCAAAGGTAAGGCAGCCAGCAATTAATTGAAATAGGTGAACATTTTCCGTGAAATTTCAGAATGTTTTTCTCACCATTGAACCATACAACATTTCAAAGATCCCTAGATTTTAGCTTCCTATGGTAGCGCAAAAATGTAAATACTAACAACATTTTACACTGACTTTCCAAACTCCCTTTTATCTTAAAATGCCATGATTTCTAGCATCCTAATTTTCAGATGCACGTGCCAGGGTCATGTCAGTCAGAAGTCTCATGAATCCCGGTGTTTACATCAGGATTTAAAAGCCACCCAGTTTCACAGTATAGACTCACAGATCATAGAGCAGAACAGCAAAGGATTTTTTCCCCACTTCTGACTCCTTTTGCTCTTAGCAATACTTAAAGAATGTTGTACAGCAATGGTTTGTTTAATTAAGGCAGAGAGTCATAGTGCCATTTCTTAGTGTTCCCATGGGAAAATACATTACTTTATGTGGTAAGGAGCTAGCTCTCCATCATCAAAAAATGTGAAGTCAGAACTGAGTTCCTTGGCATTTTTTAAAGAATTACGTCGTCTGTGCTTGAGCTAAGTATAGTCTTCATCAGCTGCTAATAGCAGTAATGACAATGTCACAGACTGGTTTCTGGAGAAAGACAGGGACGTATTAGTTGGGGATCTCGAACAGATGCTAGATCGTCCACAGTGGCAGGAGATTGTCAGCAGTATACTCTCAAAAGAGATGGCTGCCAAGATATGAACCCCCAGAAGATAAGGTGCGCATCACAGAAGACACAAGCTACAGGCAATGCACTCCCATTTGTAGTTCCTCTGTGTTTCATTCGGGCAAGAAAAAGATTGGCCTAGACAAGATCAAAAAAAAGAAGGAAAAGTCAACAGAATACAAAGCCGAGGGAAAGGAAGAGGGGAAAAGAGGGATTAATCAAGATTTAGGGCTCCCTTCCCTTGTTGTACTTGGCGGTGCCCCCGGGGCCAGCTCTTCCGCTCAGGTCCCCGCACGAGCAGTCAGCACAGCTCTCCCAGGCTCTGCTTCCCAATTCAACTCAGTCTTGTGCAGACTCTGAGAAAGGCAGGAAGGGAAAGAAACAATAAATCCCAGGGAGGTCAGTGGATGCACAGCTGAAGCATCCGTGGTGCTGTCTGGTCACGTTCCAAACCCGCTTCATCTTTCGGCCTCAGGAGACAGATAAACAGCCCTATAAAAAGCACACGGGGGTGTGGGGAGGGGAAGACCTTGAATTTAAGCTGAATTTCTGGTCATGGCCACAAATATTCGTTGGTCTTGCTACCAAGCATTTAACAGCACAGAAATAACATTTCCCTCAAGATAACCAGCTTCTCTGATATCCAGGGAGAAAGCCTGGCTCCCTCACCCCATCTTCATTTCAGGACCAGCAGCACATGCTAGGTATGGCTCTGTCTGCTTTTTCTTCTCTCTTTTTTGCTGGCCCAAGCAAGTGGGGTAGAGCGGGATACCCCCCGATCTGGGGTACATTTGGCACTTGTGCTCTAGACACACATGGGGAATGGGCTCCTACCTACCTCTCTTTGCAGAGGATCAAGTGAACAAGAACTCAGGACTCAGAGACTTCCTCACAGGCATACATTCAGCTGGCTGACTTGGAAATGTCAGTATCTAGCGACGAATTAAAATTACTGGAAAAAACAAGACACAAGTGTTCTTAAAAGAATGTTTGCAGTTTATGAGATCTCATTACATTATGGCTTTCCAGCCTTGGCCCCTGGCTTTGCAGCCACTGTGGTAATTGTGGTAATGGTAATGCAGCCATACGGTAATGCAGGGAGTACGGCTTCCTAGGCTGTAAATCAAGCCTCTGCGAAGACGCTGTGTTTAACGTAAAGGAACTTGGAAGCTCTACAGCTCCATCACAAACCAAGCATGACAAACGCATTTGGGCCACTTAATGGAGAGGTGAACCACTGTAAAATATTCCTGCGATGGATTTGTTGCACAGAAAACAGTCTCTGGCTTAGAGATGGAGTTACAGCAGCCTCTTGCCAGGTATTTTGTATTAGGAGCTAACTTTAAACTGTACATTGTTTCCAAGAGTTACAAGATAAAATAGATAGCCCTGGTTCCACACGATAACTAAACATTGTTCAGTTTCAATCAAAGCAAGGCCAAGGGCTTTATTGCCTGATTCAAAGCACGCAGGACTTGACGAGTGCCTTGTCATTGACTTCAACCAGTAACTGAGTCGGTTACCAGCACAGAGAGGGATGTTAATCAATGACCTCTAATGCATTTTCACTGCCGACACATCAGTTCTGGCTCATTGCACATACTTCTGCCTGGGGATTTGGGGGAAACTTTGCGTTCTCTAGAGATCTAGGAAGCCTCGACAGCAGCAGCTTTAAATTATGTGTTTTGCAAAAGGCCCGAGTCCTTTTCTTAGGCTATTAATCTGCAAAAAATGTAATATTCTCCAATCCTTTTTAGTCTGCTTAAGGGAAAGCTTACACTAAGCAAACAAGAAAGACTCCTGCTGGAAAGTATTTTTTGCCTGGCCTACAAGCTTATCATGGAAATGCTTTTTTTTTTAACGCATCAACCCTGAAATTGGATTTTCCAGAGCCAAAGAAAACTCATAAATTCCCATTTGTAATCTAAATTTTGGCCTCAGTTCAGCAGACCATTTAACTTTTGGGTGCTATGCTGAACAGAGACAGGACAAATGCTTTCCTGACTCGCAATCAGAGCTGATTATTTCATAGGTTTTACAACTGGCAGAAACAGTTCTCCTGCCTAAACTTCAAAACAGCATAAATGACAGGAGCTTTATCAAATCAACAATGGCAGCAATGCATGAGTTACTGATGAATGCAGATCAGTAGCAGTTTGTGTCATTAATGGGATCCCCTTCCTACTTTTGTATCTTCCATTGGCTTCTCATACACCTTGGACTCTGAAGAATGATATGGGATCCACTGTATTTGCATCTATTTTAGCAAGTTTTATGGGTATCAATAATATTCCTGTTTGGCAACTGGCTGAGTAAAGGATTAAAAAGCTTGACTGAGGAAATTACAGCTCCTGTCCCTCCCTACTGTCCCAAATCAAACACCAGTGACAACAAACTGAATCACCTGACACTCACCATTTGTCCAGAATTCAAGTAAGTACATGAATTAAATGCAACTAAAATACAGTCGGTACTAAACCCTATTTCTGTTGCTATAGAGGCCATCAGCAACATTAGGAAACACTTTGAAGTATCATTGCTGGCAGAGCAGAAGACCAGTGGGACAACCCCTATCATAAGATACTCACAGTACACCAGGAGCCACGTGCTCGCTATGTTGGGACATCAGGCCTTGAAAGAAAGCAATGTGCTGGAGCAGCTCAAGATGATCAAGAGCCCCGACATCCAAAACTTGAATGAAAAGGTAGGTGCTGTGGATGTTGAATGGGAGCTAAACAAAAATCTCTTTTTTGATGCTGTTAGTAGTTTTTCTTTTAAAAGGGTTCTTACATGCGTTTTAAATCTGGAAAACTACACTTCCCTGACACAGACACGCAGTCACGTCAGAAACAGCTGCACTTCTCAGCTGTGGTTACTACCACCCTTCTGGAAGCCATTGCTTCCAGGGCAGGCCCAGCACAAGGAACTGTTTAAGCACTCTCTAGTCTCAAGAGGACTTCCATGTAAATTCAGAAAGATTAACCCCAACCTCCTCCATCAGTGGCTTAAACTAAGCAGAGCATCTTTGCCCTGGAGTGGATGGGGAGTGCTCACATATCCTTTGCATCACCCATGGGAGAGGAAGGGATTTCTGTCCTTCTGTGGGGCAGCAGTGAGTACCTGATAGCACCTTCAGCCAACACTGCCAGAACTGGAAGAGATCATCCATCTAGGCCTTTAGTCTGAACATGTGTGTCAAACTATGTGGAGGGCTAGACATGGTACCATGTTTTGTGAGAGGTGATCTGGATCCTTTAGAACAAGCCATTGACCTATGGGCTGGATATGGCCAGGGGACAGTTTCAACCTTTTTGCCATGGAGGAGTGAAGCAAGGGTCTTAGTGCAACACATGGAGCCCAACAAATGGCTCGTGCAAGGATGGGCTTGAAGCCATGGGCTGCCGTTGCATTCTTCAAGTCAGGGAAGGGGGATCTGTAACTGGCAGGACACCCATCTTTGGAGAGACCAGACCACCATCTCTTCAGGAAAATCCCATACAATGTTCAATGTTCATATGATGTCAAATGTCTTCCTTCCCCCAGGATTATATCTCAGGCCCCCAGAGGAGTCCTGACATAGGCATCTTCCTTATTGCAGATCTGTGGTGTGCCAGGAGACCAGCCCTGTGTCACAGCAGCCTGCGGGGGAGCTTTGTGCCAGGATAGTCATGGAGTCAGGCAGTGTGGTGGCCCAAACTGCAGCGGAGCTCTTCCCCTCTCCACTGATGCCTTCAGAAAAGCTGAGGAGGCTGCTGTGTTGCTAAGTAACTTGACTACTCAGCTACGGGAACCTGAGAATCAGGTGGTGTATATCAAACCTACATTTGTTCAGTGAAATGGATGGAGGATGAGATTTGGGAGGTCCCAAATCTACAAAAACTCACCTGCTCCTTGGACAAAGAGCAGTGACCTAGTCATGGACTCTGCCCCAACGCCACAGACCTACCATGGTTCAGTACTGGGAGTGTTAGGTGCCAGTCCCACCAAGGGACTGTGGCTCTAGGTATGCCTTCCTCTTCCTCACAGCTGCCAAGATCTCACGGGTCACGGTGCCCTGTGCCTATGGAATTTGGTGGCATCAGGCTAGTATTGTCTATATTCTTACTGGGAAAGATTCAAAGGGCACCGTTTGTCAGTAGCCTGAGTATGGCCCATGCTTATTGCAGTGGGATTACTGCTGTGCATAGCATTAAGCTCAATTTATACAACTTCGTATTACTCTTATGTTTGCCATTAAAGAATTTTTGCAAATAATTTCAAGCTGAAGCTTTTCTGCCCCTGGTGATGTTTAGAATGGCATCAAGTAAGTTGGCTGTACTGCACAGTAGCAGTGAAAATAACTCAAGCAAAGTATGGCCAGTGCAACATGTGCAAAGGAAACAGAACAGACAAATTCCAAAACACCAGACAGTTTGTTCTCATTAGCAATCAGAGATGATGCCTGTTACCATTATAGGCAAAACACATTTTCCAACAGAAATGTCATTCTACTGTGGCTTTGTCTTGTCCCTTCAGGGTGCCTGGGCATCCATTTCCTCCTTTTAAAATACACGCGACACACTTGCATCACAGCTAACGGGTTTAGAAATGAGCAATCGGGGCACATGCCTGGGCCCCAGGACACAGAGAGGCAGCAGCGAAAGACATCCCGTACTGAGGTGGCAAGCGCCAGGCTGCTGGGACATTGCCTTTGGCACTCACAAGCTTCTGACAGCTCTACGATAATATGTGTGAAGTATTTTGAGATGTTTCAAAAGTAAAAACATCACCATTTTTCTTGTTGCATGGGGAAACGGTGAATCTCTTCTCTCCACAGACCAGAGAGGCGGTTCCTGTGGATTTCATTGAAGCAAAGCATAGTCCCAGCAAAGCAAAATACCGTTGGCATTTGATGATGAATCTAAAGCTCTCATTTAAATGATCTAGAATAGTAATTTAATGGCAAAATGTAACTTTTAAAGACAAGCCTTGAACTCTACCTTCCTTATTTGTGTCCTCTTAGGTGTATTTTTAACAGCAAGTCCAATGTGAAAAGGCAAATGAAATTAACATGCCTTTTCTGTTCTGAATCTCATCACTGACATGCTGCAACACTGCAATAGAAAATAACAGTCAGCCCCTTCTTTTAGAAACAGAAGGGCCTGTGGTTTAGCAGTGGTTGTAGAGAGAAAAAAATGTTTGACTTAGGCTTTTTCTGAGGCCAGATGAAGGCTATGAAGTAGCAACTTCTGGAGTTCCCCAAAGGAGTCTCCTACTACTTTTCAAAGCCACATCAAGTGATTCCAGCTGAGGCTTGGATGAAAATTATTTTTGTGTCAGAGGTCAACTTGCCAAGCAATGGTAGATAACCTCCAGAAAATGGCACTGCTATTTCTAATAATATTTCCAGGTTGAAAGCATTAGAAAAATGGCAGAAGACAGCAAGTTGAAAGGCTCACAATTTAATGGGCAACTGGAGACAGCTAAGAATCAAATTGAAGTTGACCGAGAGATCACTAAGGAGTTCATCCGAAAAGTGAAAGACTTCTTGTTAGGTAAATATGCAAAGTTCTTTCTGACTCATTTTTTATATATATTCCAATATAATACAGCATAATAGATGGCCAGAAAATGGTCTAGCTGTATACACATCAAATTTCTTGCCTACCTCCTGATCTGCGCAATCTTTTTCAATCCCTTTTTTCTAGTGCTTATTTCTCCCACATGACAGTACTTTGTATTACTTTTCCACTAGATCTGTTATGTTCTGATTGTCATCTTTTATTAATTTACTTAATTTGAAGCATGCAAGTAATTCCCTCAGTTCCTGGTTTATCTGAGTAAAGGACTACTAACATAATTTCGTACAATATATAATGTCCAGGCATGTCCAATGCATCCTCAAATTATTATTCCACCCCCTTCTTCCAGGCCCATAAATAGAGGTTCTCCATAGGGAGCGTGGGAATTAGGACACATACTGTTCCGTCGTCTCCATAAAGCTGTAACTCAAGGAATCAAAGGATTCTGGTAGAACTTCACAGCTCTCATAAAAAAACCCAAAACAACCATATATACCCTAAAACTTTTTCCACCCTCGCGATTGCAGAAAAATGCTGTAAGAAATGTTTTTTTTACCAGATGCACATCAAAGGAGTTCAAATGTGGTAGGATTTTTTTAATCCCTTGAATGTAGCTGATCTCATAAGTTTCTATGTTGGCAGTCCTTTGGCATTCATACCTCTACTTCTAAGTGGGAGCGAGGGCAGAGGACAGAGGACTTCCTTTGTTCAGGAACATTTAAGTTATTTTATTGATTTGGGAAGAAAAACTCCATTGAAGTCCTTAAGATTTGCAGATTTTTATTTGATAGCAATTGAAAATTGCACCTTTGGCTGTCCTTTTATGTTTCTTAGTAGACATACGGCATTTACTAACAATTATAAAAGCATTTTTTCATTAATTTTTGTTTTGTAAATTGAAGTTTAAAAACTGTAACAGCTGAGATGTGTACAGTTACATTAAATCTGTTGTACTCTATGTTGACGTGAATGGTAGTATTAGATGAATCTATTTCTACAGAAAATAGCTCTCAGAAATGCACTGCTGTTTGCAGTGAATGTCTTCTATTTAATTCTTGGTGAGTTACTTCAGAGCATTAGCACAAACATTTAATGTTTCAACTGTTTTATCACCCAAGGTCTTGTCTATAAAGGGAAGTGAGCAGAAAACAGAAGTGATGATGAGACTTCACAAGGCATTGACTACTCTAACTCTGTGTGCCTGTGCCTCTTAGCAAAGAACTAGGACGAGATCATTTGTAAGGGGAGTTGTCAAAATAAGGTTTTTCTACTGTAAATTCCCATCCTATCTGAGTCTGACCCAAGTTCCCTCTGTAGCTTAGCCTGTCTCATTAACCAGCAAAGGAACACTTTCTCAATATTGTGGCAACTCCAGGGAAGGGATTACACCCACTGGCTGGCTTGGAAAGCTCCATTCACACCCCAGTCTCTTCAGCGCCTCTTTGATCTGGCAGCCGAGGGAGAAATGGGCTCTGACACAGCTAGCTGTGCCGTGCACCGATTTAAAACCTTCTGCGGGCTCGGTTCTACATCAGAATTTTAATAACCCAGTTCAAAGTGGGTTCAAATCCTCATTTTAGCCAGTTCTGACAACACTAACAGCAGTACCTGGAAGCATAATGTTAAATCACAAAATGTTGGAGATAATTCTCTTACGCCCTTGCTGTGCCTGTCAGCTTTATTCTGCCACAAAACTCAAAGGGTAGGCAGCCATAACGATCATTTACGTTTCACTGGGAGGAAGGAGCCGCTTCAGGATACCCGCAGCTCCGTTTCTGTTGCAGATGAGAGCGCGCCTCCAGAAGACATTGAGAAGGTGGCAAATTATGTTCTGCAAATAAACCTTCCCCTGACTCCACAAGAGCTCATGGGCATGCTTGGCAAAATCAGGAGCATTATGAACCCCTGTGAGAAGTACAAACTGAATGTGAGTAAGAGAAACAGAAAAAGGGAGGAAACTCAGACGCTGCTGGTGGAGGCACAAGAAGCCAAGTGAGTAGGGTATTCTCGTACTGATGTGCTAACTCCAGCTAGGGTGGCACTGTGCACGGTAGGACTGCTCCATACCCCAGGCAGTATCCTAGTAACACTGGAGGGAAAGCTCAGATGACAGCAGATTGCAGCTTGCGATTTCCACAGGGCCTCCCCAGCAGGAACGAGCCATGACCGCTGGGGCTGTGGGAGCCGACGTGCTGCAAGGAGGCAGCTCCCGCCAGCTCTTGGCTCCTCCGTCTGCTCAGTCAAAGAGGCCAAGGCAGCTACGTACTTCCACGGTGGACCTAGTGGATCATTACATCTGGTTCACTAGGAGGTTTAAAATGGGGAGAGAGAAAATATGTTCACCCATAAGCGAGCTTTCCTTACTAGCAGTGCACCACCAGGCAGCCGGCAGCATCCAGCCTCACCTTTAATACAGCATCTCATGTGCTCCCACACAAGGTCCCTTACTGAGGTTTTGCTTTGCCAACTTACAAATCACAACTTTAGCAGTTGTTGGACTCGAGGGAACATTCCTGCATGTGAGCGTGGGTGCATTTGAAACGTGTTCTTGCTTTGCTCTCCACACCACAATACTACCCACACTTCTATTTTTCCATTTTAGCGAAGCAGCTAAAGCTCTTCTGCCTGTGGCTGAAATTCATAATAAACTAAAAAATGTTGTGAAGTCCCAAGGACACTCCAAAAACACCTTCATAAAGTTAAACGAAGAGATACGAGGCATCAAAACACAAATCTCACAGGTATCTCACTGTAAATATTTTTAATTTATTTACTACCTACATTTTAGAAAAAGATACTTCATCTTGAAGTTTCCTTAAATGTAAACTTAAATAAATAAAACCAGAATGTGGCACAGATATGACACCGATTCCATAATGTTTAAGGGTCTCCTCTTCTTAATCAGTTGCCATTAATCTCCCTCATTACCACGCTCTGCAGGCTGGATGCATGTTGCAAAAGAAATCAACCTTCAATTCCTCTGTTTCAGGCTGAGAACCAAGTGAACAAGACAAACGACAAACTGAACAACTTGTCAGCAAAACAGTCTGAGATGGAGGATGAAATTGCCACACTGCAGGCAAAAATGCTGATGAACAAGAATCAAGCTACAAAGGCAAGAGCAGGGGCAGAAGCAGCACACAAGCAAGCCCAGAATATTGATAACGTAAGCCTTTCTGCCACATATTAAGGGGAAAAAAATTCCCTCCATGTTTGATAGTATTTTTGATTCAGAAGTGTAATTGTGTTGCCCTGCTCTCCTCAAAACTGTGTTAATGTCTTCCTTATGCCATGCAGTGTAAAATGCCACAGGTTAAGAGTAATTTCTTTTCTATTTTAAGGCTTATGGCAAATAACGCTTCTGTTTGCTTGAATGAAAGAAAACATACACATTTCTCTGGCTACTTCGTGACATTTTTCCTTGCACTGTGTATAAGACTCACAGTCACCATGGGCACCAGTAAACACAACAGAACAAATCACAAAAACAGATATTAAAATACGTGAGCGATGGAGGCAGCCTGGCCATTCATCCCATGCCATTCTCCTTCAGAGAAAATTGCTGTGGGAGTTACTTGGAGTTTTTGGTTGGCCAGGTGCTTTTCAGTAGCTCCAATTTTTGAGGATGCATTGAGGCAGCTAGAAATTTGCTAAAATTGCAAGAACCAGGCACCCACAGTGCAAGCTTGGAGCATGACCAAGCTTCCAGGTTATAAGAAACCTAGTAGAAATCTAAACTGCAGCCTCGACAGCAATCTAAATCGGCATGGAATGGAGTTAGCCAGTAAGTATTAGTACAGCCAAAAATGTAAAAAAATAGAATTAAAAAAACCTGATGCTACAGGTAATTACTTAAATTTGAATTAAGCCTCATATCAAAAATTAAATTTACAGAAAAGCCCTATCAAAAGAAGTAAAACCAGCATAAGCTTTAAAAATCTTAAACCATATTTTCTTTACATCCTTGCCCTCCCTTGACACTTTACATTGCTCCACTGGCAGTTTAATTGATTTTTACCAGGTTTTGCAAAGCATTTTTCAATGTACACTCATGGATTTATTTTTTTTTAAGATTTAAGAGAATGAGAGATTTAAAGTTTGTTTCAAAAAGGATATTTAAAAAAGGTATAAAAATCTCCTTTGGTACACCAGATTAATTATGAGATGCTCTTAAACTAAGTAACGCCTTTTTGTTACAGGAATTTGCTGACATTAAAAGAAATTTTGCAAAGCATTTTTCAATGTACACTCATGGATTTATTTTTTTTTAAGATTTAAGAGAATGAGAGATTTAAAGTTTGTTTCAAAAAGGATATTTAAAAAAGGTATAAAAATCTCCTTTGGTACACCAGATTAATTATGAGATGCTCTTAAACTAAGTAACGCCTTTTTGTTACAGGAATTTGCTGACATTAAAAGAAAGTACACTATTCTTCAAGAAAAGCTAAAAGCCCGAGGACCTCCAAAAGTAACATTAGAAAAAGTGAAGCAGCTGAAAGAAGCAGCAGAAAAACTGGCTGAAGAGACTGAAAAAAAAATTAAAAGAATAACAGGTGGTGTTCTCACTTCCATAGGGAGCGGTGAAAATTGACAGTTATGAATTAAACTGAAGTCCTTGCCCACAGACACTAACAGACTAGGTTCACCTGAAATCAGGTTTAAAACAACTTAACTGGTGAAAAACCCTGCTTGAAGCTACCTGAGCAGTTTAAAAGCAGTTAAATAGATTTGGCTTATGTACTTTTTCTGACATAAATTGGTTGCTACAAGCGGAGTTTTAAGAAGTGTCCACACGGGGACTTGCAGTGATTTGATTCAGGCAGTTTAAAAGCAGGACAAGTGCAAAATCTGCAGAAAACTTGGCTGCAGATTTAGCTGGGAGCTTTGATTTATACACTTGCTTTGGGCATGTGGACCTTAAATCTTTCCTCTGCGCTCTGTCTTTTCTTACATTACCCGAGCGATGGCTTGTGTTATAGAGAGCTGCAGGGTAGCTTTTTTTCATCAGTACATACTTGTTCCCCTTCAGACATTATCGCTGAGCAATGGCAGAACAAACCAGGTACAAATACTGGCTTGTTCGAACACGCAGAGAAACATCCATGTCCCACAGCAGGCAGGAGGGCTCGAGTACATGCCTCGGTCACGTCGGTCCAGACTCTGGTGTCATCACCCACGTGCACTGCCATGGAGATTGAAGCCGATGTGCCCTGGACTTGCGGGGCTGCGTCCGGGAGGCAGAGGGCTCGTGGGTAGCGGAGACCACGGCTGCTGTGGCACCGCTCCTTACACAGCCTCTCGGGTGGGTTTAGAGGGTCACCAAAACAGAAGAATACATCTCATGTAATTGCAGACAGGGGACCTAATTCTCCTTGTAGTGAAGGTCGGGGCATTTCCACTGGGAATCCTTGGGCCTAGGATCCTGCCAGGCTCAACGTTTGAAAGTATCGCGTAACGTCAGCAAAACAGAAGCAGAAACTCCATCCCGGGAACAAATTCTTCGGGACAGGACCCAAATAAATACTTTGAGCAGATGATACCTTGAGGAGAAGCATTAAGATCATCCCAGTCACTCCAAATGCCCAGATGATAAGTGCATTGGAAACAGGCAGTGAATAATGTGGTTTTGACCTATTACCAGTATGTTTACACTGGTGTAGCTTCTCAGGGACCAGCAGAAACACTCCTGTAAATGAGGGAGACCTAAGTCCATTACGCCTGAATTGTCTAGGCTTTACACACATCAGTGGACACACTGTTCCTCTGAGTGTTCCCAACTTTAAGCCAACTCCTTTAAGAGCTCCATGTCCATCATAGCTGATGGACAAAAAGCAGATGCTGAGAAATTAGTTTCTTTAAGGCTGTCACGTTTCTCTCGCAATCCAGAAGCCAGACTTTTCCCTCCAGTTGCATATATAACATTCCCCATTTGAAATGGGCTTATTGCCTCTAAAACTGCTGGGAAAAGAAATGCTGTTAATCCCTGGATTTTACTTACACAACAAACACATCATTGCATGTCTCTACTCTTCCAGATTTGGAGAAGAAGCTTCAGGACCTGAATCAAACCAAACAAGACAAGGCAGAGCAACTGAGACAACTAGAGGAACAAGTGATAGCCATTAAAAATGAAATCACGGAGCAGGAAAGCAAGTATGCAACATGCAAAAGTTAGGGTCTGAACAGACCATCAGGTAAAGTGCAACTGAAGTCTTCACGCTTACCACCTCCTGAGCTTCCCGGCACGAAGGGCTGTCTCTGTAAATTCATCTGAAGGTGCATATAGTATTTTGGCACAGTGAATAACGTAACTTTCTCTTGGGTTTTTTGTTCAATTGAGTTTATATGGAAATAGGAAATACCTTATAATAAACCAGCTGATAAAGTAATTGGGATGCAGTCTTTGAGGGAGCTCTAAAATACACTCCTGCCCACAGCCCCGGGCTTCTCCTTGAAGGGTGATGGAAATGCAAAAGGAGGATTGCTCAGAGAACTACAGGTAACTGCCTCAGAGACTCCCAACACCCTGTATCTTCTGCTGAACCCTACAATAACCTGTGGCTGTGCCACAACCCCGCATGGGGCTGCACAGACCGGGATGGTGCGATGCAGAGGAAGGTCTGTGGGCTTCTGTAGCCATCCCTGCTGACAACTGGTGGTGTCCCCAGGGTACCATCACTCCCACTCCATGGGATAGGGTAGGGGGGTCACCAGGAACCCCTGATGATGTGGGGGTCCCCTATGTTACCTGAAAATGCGCAGGGATGCGCGGTACCTCTGTGCAGCGCTGGACCATTAGAGGTGGGTGACAGGGAGCCAATTCCCCAGTGTCCACTGGATGGCAGTGCACAGATGCTTAACGCCAAAAACAACTTCAAAATCATTGTTTAAGTCGTTGTTAAGGGTCATTTGTCAATACCTCTCCTGCAATACCTTTTTTTCTTACGGTTATAAGGGGTTTCCCACGTTTTTCGTTAATGCAACCAACAACTGTAGAATAACTCAAGCTCTTAGGTTTAAGCAGTGAGTCTGCAGGGCCACAAATGTTGAAAAACAATTTCTCCAGCTTTTCTCCCACATGCAGCACTTCACCGAAGTCAGGGTTCACACAGCAGTTTCTTGTAGCCATAAAGAACACAGGAATTGACCTAAATTTTAGTTTACAGTTCTTCTTTTAATGTAAAGAAGGAGACTGGGGCTAAGCAAATGCTACAGAAGGGCTAGGGTTTTAAAAAGACCAAAGGGAGCTACGCCTCAGTTTCAAAACCCCACCCATATTCCTGCAGGACACTGAACAGACTAAGGATGGCTTTTCCTCAGTTAAAACCAGTCATGTCATTCCCGTCTGGACCGTCCCACAGCAAGCATCCATCATGGAATTTATTCAGCTGGTGTGAGGAGCCCAGCACTGCTGCAGAGCACTCCAATGCAGCCCAGACCACATCTGTAATATGAGGAATGCTCTGCAGGAATACAGGGCTCAGCATCTACAATCCTTATCTAAAAGCAAGCACTGTTTCGATCCAACTGAGATAAACCCTCCATAGTTATCACTCTGTGTTTACAAGAGCTAAAGTAGCATTCGTATGCAGTGGGGGGCTTGGGTGGGAATTGCTGCCATGGATGAGATTTCAGAGATATCCCTCTAACTCAAACCAGCTGTGCTCCAGGGCAACGTGCAACATGCATTACCCATATAACAGCTTCTATTGTGAAAATGATGGAATCAAATTATAACTTTGATATAATCTAACAGACACCTGAATGCAGGTATGCACATATTTGTGGTTTAGCTTCTTCTGAATTTTAGCACTTTAAAAAATCATCTATGAGGTGCGATGCTTCTTTAGAAGTTACTAGGCTATAATCAGATGAGTGTATTTAGATTGACTTTGCCATAATGAAATCGAGCATCTCCGGTTTACTCAGAGCACACAACTCACCAAGCTGCTCACACGCAGGTCTCCAGGTAATGAAGAACTTCCTGCAGGTTTCAATGCGGCCCTGCTGCACTGCACTTGAAACAGGCAAACTGAAGCTCTTAGAAAGAAATTCCGAATTGCATATAAACTAAAATTATTTCATTCATGGCTTTAAAAATCTGAATTCACAAGCAGAAAGTTGAAAGAGACCTTCCTCCTAAAATCCACTGTTGGCTGTGAGAGTTGCCATATGGCTTTTGACACAAGCCACGGATGAGAAGTCTCTAAACACAAGGCAGTTGTGGCCTGGAGGGGAGATGTATCCATGGGGGGGAAACAGAAATCGCTGGAAGAAAAGCAGAAACAGGAAGAAGAAAGTCAGCATGGAGTCTGACCTCCCCTGCCTTCCTCCAAGCATGCTCAGACACACAAAGCAAGCAGACCTGACAGGACCAGCAGCTACAGGACACCAAACCCATTCTGTGACAGCTTCTGAGGTTTACAACTGTGCAGCGTTCCCCATTGGAAGTGGTGCAAAAAATTTTAAAGTGTTTTTGCAAAGTTAATTTGTGGGAAAATGCTGTATCTGGATCAAAAATACCTATTTTTGATCCCCTGGCTCTCTTTCTTGTGGACAGAAGTGGCTTCAGAAATTCAGCGTTTATTGAAAAAATTATTGAAATCACTATCTTGCTGTAGAGCATTTTGACTTCAGTGACATTAATCAAAATGCAAACAACATTTAACCAAAACCACATATAATCAAAGATATATTTAATCAAAAATTATCTCATCAGCTCTATTTGCTAGGCATAGAATGCTAGGCATTCAACCACTGCAGTGTTATAAGAAAACGGGTGATAAAGCGGGTCCCACTGAGGTCAAATTCTGAACTTTGGTTCTTCAAGAAGACTTCCAACCCAGCACAAAGACAGACACCCCAAGACTGTAAAGCCACTTAACCAACCACAGGGACAGGAAATGGCACAAAAATGAATTTTTATCATTTGAAGAATCAATCAAATTAAAATACTGCCACTAGCTATTGTTCACGAGCACTGCAGAGAGGGACAGACACGAACGAGTTCATTGCACCTAATTACCCACACCGTGAATGCTGGTGGTCTCACCCAGGTTTCAGCCACCTCTGAAAGGCGACCACGGTTACAGGTGACAGTGGCCACCCCGGGCCACGGCTGCACTCCCCACACAGGGCGAGTGGTCACCACTGCAACCCCAACTCAATCCCTGATGCCATGCAGCAGGGTCACCCCCAGGCTGGAACACAGTGCATTGTCATGCCGCCCATGGCAAGGCACGAAGAAGCCTAACTATAGTGGCAAGGAGCTCCAGAGGGCAACTTTAGCCTATTTTAGGTTTAGGGGAGGATAGGACTTCTACAAGGCTACAAAACAGAAAAAAAAACGAGGAGAAAACCAATAAAAATTGAAAAAATATGCGATAGAAAAAATCCAGTGGCAATGAAACACTCTGTCCTTGCACACTTGCACACGGAGTGATGCTGCGGAATGCCCCTGCCCGTCTGCCCTGGACTGGGGCAGTTTCTAACTGCAGCAGAGTAAAACATTTTCTGTTAGTGGGACAAAAATGTTCGTTGTATTGAAGCTTAAAAACAAAGCCGGGCTGTGATTTACATGACAGGATTGTGAAACTGAATTAGTTTTGTGAATTTAGAAGACTACATAGCAGAAGAGGTTTAGAATTCCAATACCTGCCCTGTCAGCTTAAAATGGTTTAATTTCCTGGATATCTTTAATGAAACAGCCCCACAAATTCTTCAATCGGGAGTCCTGGGTTATGTTTCAGACCTGGTGTTTAACCTTTAGGGCAAGTCACTTGGTATCTCTCTGTTTCTGCTTATCCATCTGTAAAATGAGAACGAACATATTTACCTACCTCGGCAGGGTTTGCTGGGACAGACAGACCGCAGTGTGTTTCCACTCCGGCACTGCAAATGGCGAGGGCAAAGTGTTCTTGAGAGACACCGGTACCTGGTAAAGATTTACACAAGTTTACGTGTTACACGTGCACAAGCAAAACTCGAGTATATAAACCCACGCATCTGTCCCAGCCTGCGCCCAGCCGGGGCTGCGCTCTTCAAACGCATCCATCCTTCGTACCCGCTCCTCGGTGTTTATTTACCAGTAAACCTTCCCCCTGGGTGCCGAGGGGACTCTGCCACCAGCCAACAAAGCCCCCGTGTCCCCCCGCAGAGCCCAGGGAACCAAAACAGGAGGCCAGGAGTGCAGGGGCAGCTCAAGCACGGCCGTTCACCCCTCGCAGCCGCCCCAGCGCCCCTGGGAAGGCAGCAGCACCGCGTGCTCCCAGGTAACGAGAAGCAGCCTGGCAGCGGCCAGCCCGGGCTCGACGGGCCTCTCTGCCCACGCCAGGGCCAGACCCAGCCACGTATGGCAGCGTGGCCACCGTCCCCAGGAATGGCACTCCCAAGCCACGTGTGTTGGCACCACAGCACCGGGCGATTCGGGGCCATTGAGCATCACGCGCGATGGCTGCCAAGCCCCTGGCCCTTTGCTGGGTTTCGGGCCTTGCCGCACAGGTACGCTCCATCCACCATCCACCCCTCCCAGGTGCCCAGCCCCACCAGCACCCCCGGCAGAAGGCAGGATCGGGTCAAAACTCCCATTCCCGCATTGCATCCCCACAGACAGGGGTGGGGAGAGGGGTCGCCCCGCCGGTGATACCCCCTCCCCCCGGTTGCTGCACCCTGCCCAGCGCCCGCTCCCAAAGCTGGGGAGCAACGGGGAGGGCACAGCCTGC